CTCCTACTTGTGTGTGATACAAGTGATGCATTTTACAATCGGGATTTCCGAACATTCTGTACAGAACCATATACGTTCTGGCTGGGTGGTTAACTGTTTTGCCTGTTTTACCAAGAGTTTGGCACATGAAATGTGAAAGTGTTTCAGGCAGTGTGTGCAAAATATCCCCGTTTGGCGTCTTTCTTACAACTCCGTAAGCCGCATACTTCCGATGCCGTCGAAACACCCCATGCGGCACCTGTTGTCGTTCGTTATTTGACGCAACAAAAACTTGGGCATACTGGTTCTTCAGCATTTCAGTGGCTTCCATTGTACTGGCTGTGGCTCTTCCAGAAGAACTGAGCATCGGTATTCCATGTTTAACTTTTCGAGCTGAGTTAACTTGTTTGCACAAAGGCTTTGGGTTTGAAATAAGTCTTTGTTCTAGAGATTCTTGATGGTTTAGTTTATCTGCGCGCACCAACTTGGTGCGGTCAGTAATTGTTCCATGTGCATGCATTTGGAAGTTTTTTGTAATTTCTCCAAACGAGGTCCCTCAGAAATATCCATTTCTTTGTACGGCTTCGAATAGGTGATTTCCGGCTGCTGGGTTTGGTAACAACTTTTACCTGCGTTACTGACGCCAGTAGTTGTTGCAGACCGTCAGTAAATTTCTGTCATAGGACTAAAGAGTTGTGCTTTTTCCGATGAGATATCCATTGAATGGAAGGAGCCAAACTCTGCAAATTTGCAGTTTATGAATTTGCGAATGTTTTTTGGGTTCAATACTTTGACGGAAGCGTAACAAATGTATTTAAACAACAGTACAGCATGGTCACTTCGTCCCAGAGGGGTCTTTACGGCAAGAGATTCTATCATCAACTCTTCGTTTGTCAACACTAAATCCAGGATGGATGGTGATTGCAAGTTTCCAAATCTGGTATGCTCTTTCACGTGGTTGTACAGTGGTTGTGGGGCAATTAGCTATATGAATTGTTGTTCGAATAAGAGATGGGAGGTCATTGGTTTTCGGAGGTTGGGACAGTTGAAATCACCCCTTAACAGAACATGTGTAAATCTTTTGGCGAGAATGAGTAACACAGTCTTCAAAAGAGTCATATTGGCTGATTCCGTGGCTGACGGAGGGCGATAGATGACACCAGTCAAACAGTCATCGTGTTTGAACAATCTCAACCTACACCACAGAGTATCAGGAGTCGGAACTGGAGTGTGGATTTGCTCGCAATCAAGATTTTTTCGATAACAGAGTAGAATACCAACGCCACGGGTAGGACGATCGCATCTGAGCAGAGACATCTCTGGTAAGGATAATTCGGAATCCGGAATATCAGCTGCAAGCCACATTTCTGTAATAGCAATAATATGCCACTGACCTGATATGAAACGAAAATTCGGCTCTGGAAATTTGCTGAGGAGTCCGTGAGCATTGGTGTAGCAACAGTTTAAATATTACTGGTGTAGAAATCCGATTGGATTAGAAGTGTTACCTTGGCCGACCTCTTCGCGGTCGGCTACCATTAGTTTTTTGTTAGAGAAGCTCTGGTACTTTGGACCACCGGTTGTGGGACGGAATTTGGTACTTGCATTGAGTGATCCGATGTATTAGTAGGGTTCTCGGGATAGGAATGTGTTTGGAGCCTGGAATTTAGTAAGAGTCTCACACTTAGTTCCGGAGGCCCTCTGTTCTTTCGTTCGCGCCATAACTGCAAGACAGTGTTGGCCATGTCTGAAGTGCCAAGAGTAACTTTCATTGTCCTCGGACCGTTGCCGTGGTAATTTCGTGAGCAGGGAAAACGACTGATTGAGGTTGTCAGAAGACCGGGACACCCAAGTAAATTTTGAATGAATCGCCATTCTCGTCGGTCGTTCTGATGACTTTTAGCTTCATCTAGATCGTCCAATTGCGGGACACCATGGATGAGGACGACCCTCTTGTTTTCCTCCACCCGTACTCTCATTGGATCGGACGGATGCTGCATTCGTTCCGTCCATGGACATCAGGGAAAACTCTGGTTCTGCAGGGACCATTTCTGAGGAGGTAGCCAGAAAGAAGAACGTCCTCCAAGTCTTTTTCATCTTTCGGGGTCGCCCGGAGTAGTCTGGGTTCCCTGGCATGTGGCGACGTTGGCTGGCGCATAAGTCTTGTGAGGCCCACGGGTAAAACATGAATGCCCATCTGCGTGCACAAACCCTTTGCTCTGGTTATCCATTTCGTACATAAACAAGTGAATACTTAGTTTTTTTTATTACACACCTAAGTGTGATGAACAACACACAGGACGGACCCCATAGTCACCAAGACCTGCTGTTTAGTGATTGAAACCGGCAACCTAAGCCCTGGGACTTTGGGGTGGAGAACCAAATAAGGCTCCGATAGGTTAGGCGTGGCATTAAACCGGACGACAGCAGAGCTGCCTAGCACCAAAGTCGGGTGGCAGTGGCGGGGCTCGAACCTGAGACAAAAGGGTTCAAAGCATGCCGGTGACAGTGACTAAACCACTGCGCCCATTCTCAGTTAAGTTCATGGACTTTCAGAAACACAAACTGCTCCCTTATAATGGTTTCAACCGAACGAGTTTACTTGTCACCTCCATCGATCCTTTCCATTAGTTGACCCACTTCTCTTCTGTTCTTGCTCTGCTTCGGTTCACTGTTTGTCATTTATCGATCATCCTTTCCGCCCCCACACACGCATGAGTTCTCCTGATCGCCCTTCGGGGGTCATCTATTCACTGACACACCCACCCGTGTCATTAATTGATGAGAGACGAAATTATGTGTCTGACTGGCTCAGCCTTTTGGGACTTCATGCCACTGTCGATTGGACTAATCTTGTTTGTTTTTGTTTGACATAACGCTGGGCTACCCCCTTTTGAAGCGCCATAACTGTAAGGTGCATTTTAACCTAATCGACTGCTGCTGTATTCTCCCTTGATGCCCTTATTTCTAGAAGTGCTTTGACGACTGCCCTAACCCAGGCACCTCATGAATCAAACTTGTACATAGTTTTTCATGTCAATAATTGATTGATAACTATGGTATCATGTCAGAAGACAGTCTTGGTTTGCATTGAATTGGATCCGAATCTACGCGTCACTTATCAACAGTTTCACTAGGAGAAAGCAATCCCTTCAAATTATGCAGTAAAGAAACTTAATATATATATCATCACAATAACCTCGTTTGCAACACCGGATGAATTTGTTTGGACAGAGCAAATAAGAAAAATGTGATATAAATATAACAATAATGATTGTGTAATCCAACGGAGCAAACCAATGGAATTACAAATCGGCAAAATTCGGGTAAAATGTAGTCTAACATACTGGAATGATTTGCTTTTAATGAACTGTCTCATGGGCATTATGAGCCAAATAATTGGTTTAGAATGTACACGCGAGTTAGGCTAAAACTACCAACCTACCGAACCGATCAGTAATTATTACATAAAGCTCAACTTCATCAAAGTTGTTTTGGTTTCCACATATCCAAAGAAACGCGGAGAATTTTAGTGCAGTTTTAGCCTCTTCTGAATCAGTTACTGTGTGGAATTTGAAACGGTTTTTGTTTGATTCAAAGAGAACGTGAACTTACCAACATCATCGTATTCGAATTGAGGAATCAATGTAGCTCCCGGTGACAATGCGTATCGGTACATTTTCCAATAGCGAAAAAAGCGTTCCACAATGAATCGCATGCATTTTTTGGCCAAGTCTATAGAGAATATCTCCACTGAATGAGGCGGTCTCTGTAAAGCGTTATATACACCTCTGTATCAGGACAAACTACCTACCTGAACGGAATGACATAACAGTAATTTGTTTGCTTCAGCCAAACCACGCTGTATTGGCACAAACGGGGAGCCTGGACGAACAGAGGACGTATTGGTAAATCAAACCGAACGCGTAGTCATGCACCGACTTACTTGCACACAAATCCCATAGTTCATAGAGAATCGAAATCAGTACGGTGAGTTGCGCAGGTGCGAGGGCATTGTCTTTCGCGAACCACAACGCGTGATTCACCAGTTCAACAAACAGTGAAGTAGCACGTGTGAATCCGGCCTCGGTCAAAATTGTGTCTAATTCGTGTGTGCCACGAGCACATCGCAGTGCTTCATTTTGTCCGGGTGTCAGGCGGGTCCACAAACTTCGTTCGCAAATAGACTGGCTTCGATCTATTTTATTAGTGGACAGATTTTCTTCCGTCATCTGGCACAATACAACCAAGAATATGTTGTGCTTCGCCGACCTAGGAGATGACTAGTGATGATTGCTGTAGCATAATGTTTAACAGAAAGCATAAGCTGTGCTGCGTGTTGCCTGTTCAGTCGGATGTATAAATATTTAAAAACGAATCGAATCGAGCGATATAGGCAATCTGCCTATCACCTAGTATTTTATGTGCGTCAACATCAAAACCATCTTCCTATTTTCCATTTAATGTTTAGCAAACTGAGATTGACTGTGGACCCGTTTTGCATATTGGCCTCGTAGCTCAGTTGGTAGAGCGTCCACTGTACAAAAGCGTAGGCGGCGTCCACTTGTGAGTTCGAATTCCACCGAAGCCACTGAAATTTTCACAACTTCAATGCAAGATTTCAATCTGACAAACAACAATGTGAACAATACTGTTTGTTTATTTGTTATTTTTAGAACAAAAGGAGGTAAATATTATTTTTATTATTAACATGTCATAAGCCAACCGGTCGATGATCCCAACAGGCTTGCGAGAAAAGCTTGCACTTTATGGCTTTTAGCCAAATTGCAGTGTCTATCCGCTAGTTTAGTGGGTAGCATGATGGTGTTCTTCTTGGGTTCGATCCTCCGGTGGGATGATAGACTTGCACTATCGATGTGACAGAATAATATGTAATCCGTTCCGCTTTTCAGTTCATTCTTCCCTTTTCATTTGACGGAATTCATCATAAAAAACAGCTTATGAATACTCTATTGAAACCGTTTTTTAATCGAACATTCTTCATCTAAATGAAATGATCAAACATTGATGAGGATTACGAGCGCTGGAGGTCCAGTTACATCAATACCCATTTTTGAGCTATAGATACTGATTGTCAGTTCAACCAGCATGTTCCCAGTAGTCACATACTCTTCGTATTTTGTTCGTCTATCGCATCTCAATAGTGTCCTGTAGAAAAGTAGCATGCAAAACTGGAAGGTGTTCCTAACAGAGAGGGCAAATATTGGAGTGGCGGTGACGGAGCGGTGTAGTTAGTGTTTCAACTAAGCCACCGTCACCCCACTTCCCTGAACACTGATTAACATTTTTCTACTGGATGTGGCTTTATCCTGAATATTAAGTACACAATTGCTGTGTATGGAATGACTGAATGCAAAGGATTAACATTATTAATAATATAGCCCAAGCAACCTCAGTCTCAGTATTTAGCCAGGTACTGCTCTCAGTTTGCCGCTTCGTCCTTCTAACTGTTAATCCAAATGGATGATTACAAAAGCTACCATAACCACCGCACCAAAATGTCAGGTAATTTGTTGTATAAACCGAGCTGAACTAAGCAACAGATTAAAGATCGAAAATTTATGTAAAACAGCAGTAAATATAGCAGAGGAAGGATCCGAAGCATTAAAAATTCAGATATGATTTCATTTAATGCGTCCCCACCACCATTGGTGGAACGGTGATTGTATGAAATATTTAGTTAACACAACATGTTGGAACAAAAGCGGCGTAATTAGTTGTAGAGTACGAGTTCGCAGAATATTCCCACAGACCATACAGAAAACGGTGTTCACGAAGAAATTTCTTTTCGATATATCGCATGAAGCACTGTTTTTACCCTGGCCTGGACAGCGGATTGATTGTGCATAAACAGAGCATCACCGCTCTTCCCCACACATCCGCCCCCACCAAAATCTTAACAGTCAATTTTTTCGTCTCTTCTATCTCTTCCCGATTACATCACATGCTATGCAGAACACAGTTGATAATGTAAATTACGTAACTCCATCCCACACTCTCGCCTTGGCTCATGACTTATCCACATTTTAGTCAATCCATTTCAATCAGTTATTTCATTTGACCTTTGTTCTCTCATCCCCAGGACTAACACTGACTACCGCTTACTTTGTCACATTCGCTTGTTACCCTTGCTCACCTCTGTCATCATTATGTAAACAATATACCGTATACGTACTGTATATTTTATTATTATTATTATGCGTATATTACATAAACTGATCAGTAATCAGCCAATCAGATATGTGTCTTATGGTCGCTTCATATTTGTCACTGCCTTATACGATGTACCGAAAAGAAGTTTCTTCGGGAACAAAGTTTTCTACATTTTATTTTATTGTACCTTGAACGGCATATAAACATTCTGGTTAAGTAGTGACAGTAATCCAGCAGAGACGGGTTTATTCAGCTCTGACTGTACGTAACCCAGATGTTGGTAATTTCGTAGGCGCAGGAAATG